TGGAGTATTATGGAAAGGTCCACGCGCAGGGAGTCACCCCCCTTTCCCTTCCACTGCTTTATCATACGAGTTCCTTTCTTGGGTTTTATCAGTTCAAAGGAAGCAGAAGAAGAGAAGGGAAAGGCAGAAATTGAGCCCAACATTTTAGGGACCAGGGCTTGCGATCTGACTCTTTGGAGCAAAGATCGATTCCAAAATCTTGGGGACCAGGGCTTGCGATGTTACTCTTTGGAGAAAGAAATGAGCCCAAAATCTTAGGGACCAGGGCTTGCGATTTGACTCTTTGGAGCAAAAACTGGGCCCCAAATCTTAGGGACCAGGGCTTGCGATTTGACTCTTTGGAGCAAAAACTGGGCCCAAGATCTCAGGGACCAGGGCTTGCGATTTGACTCTTTGGAGCAAAGACTGGGCCCAAACTCTTAGGGACAAGGGCTTGCGATGTTACTCTTTGGAGCAAAAACTGGGCCCAAACTCTTAGGGACCAGGGCTTGCGATGTTACTCTTTGGAGCAAAAACTGGGCCCAAACTCTTAGGGACAAGGGCTTGCGATGTTACTCTTTGGAGCAAAAACTGGGCCCAAAATCTTAGGGACCAGGGCTTGCGATTTGACTGTTTGGAGCACAAATCGACCCCAAGATCTTAGGGACCAGGGCTTGCGATGTGACTCTTTAGCAAGAACTGGGCCCAAGATCTTAGGGACCAGGGCTTGCCATTGGCCTCTTTGGAGAAAAAATTGACCCAAAATCTGTTGGTTATGGCCGTGGAAGGGTGTGAGTGCTGCCGGTGTTGTGGGATGTGCTGGTATGTGAAGTGGTTCCGGACTTCCTGTCGAGTCGGTGACTGGACTGAAGTGTTCGGGATATGTGATGGCTCTTATCCTTGGGGTTGACGGGGGAGGAAACTCTTCCTCAGACATGTTCATGATCCCTAGGAACCACCAAGTCCTGGCGATACCTTCTGCCTACCCTGAACCCAATAGGGAACAGAGGAAACCACACAACCAATCCCACACAGGGTCCTACAATGGGGCCGGTGCCCTGAAGCCCTGAACAGTAGGGTGATGGGCTAAACCGATGACAAGCAAGCAGGAGGGGATTAAGGTTACCTAACCCTTCGTGTCTTGCCCGCCTGGAGAACGAGATGATGTTTGCATGATGGAGTCGAGATAATGAGGTATTGAGTGAACGTGCCAATGCCCACGTGATGTGAGTGTTGCTGCTGCAGCTGCTTCTGTTACTGCTGCTGCAGCCTCTTTTCCAATCAATCCCAAAATCTTCTGAAACTCGCGTCAAGAATAGCCAGCTTCTGCCAATGCACAAAATAAAGCAACGACCAGATCTCCCTGATGCCACAAGTTGCAAGTATGTCCAACAGTGCAAAATGCTGCTGCTGCTGCTGCTGCTGCTGCTGCTGCTGCTGCTGCTGCTGCTGCTGCTGCTGCTGCTGCTGCTGCTTGTTGATCAGCTCTGACGAGCGATATCCATAAACGCGCATCCCCATGAAGGATTCTGGGCCACCAAACTGACAATCGCCCGTATTGCTTCAGGTGGGATGTTGCTGGACTTGAACCTTGTGTCTCCGCGTCGAACATCATAGTCGAAATTTCCGCAAGCAACCATGCGCACCTTCGCCTGAAAAGTGTCTGGATCGTCCAACTTCACAGGGGGTAATTTGCCATCTGGACCAGGAATTCCATCCGGTTTTGCCTTTATCACCAGTTTCGAAGGCAATGTCTTCGGCAACGGATCATTCGCACTGAGTCCCAAGGTCTTCCTCAGGTCTTTGGCCTTTACCCTCTGCAAAGCTTCCTTGGTATCAAACATGGTTGTCAGCTCCTTCTCAAGCCCCTTTTTCCACTTCTCTTGTAGATGTCGAGGTCCTTCAGTGAAAACACGCCCATCAAGATGCACATCGTCCTCGGCTTTGGCTTCATCTGCTCCTGCAGTAGCAAGTGCTCGGGCCTCGGCCTTGTACGCTTCCTTTCCAGCATCTGCACTCCAAACATGGTACTTCATCTTGTGCTTGCCTGTTTCAGGAGTTTGCCGTTCTGAAGCATCCACTGAGGTTACCGCCTGCGCCACAATCGGATATCCTTCCAAAGGGCTCTGACCAAGCGACTGCTCTTCAACGGTCAACAGTCCTAAATCAATTCCCAAATCTCGGATGTCGTCTGCGTTGCGTGCTTCACCCTTGTCAGAAATCCACACAAGATCTCCAGAAGTTGTCTCGAAAGTGTGCCACTGGCGATCCCTCTCACGGATCACTGCAGGCAGTCTGGTCAAGATAACGATGTCCCGACCATTCCTCTTCACCTGCACTCGTGCTCCATGCGTAGTACATGGGTCTCGCGCCAGGAAAGTTCCTTCTTCAGCGCGAGCTTCCAGAGGTGATGGGTCGATTACCTTAACCGCCACACGGGAACCTGGATAGGGTAAGCTTCCCTGCCATGCCACACCAAGAGACGTATCACGATATCGAAATGCTGCTTCTTGAAAGTAAAGTGGCCAGTACTTGTGAGGCGCCTGACCCTTCACAATGAACTCTCGGACTGACTGTTTCAGAATTCCAACAAAGCGTTCTGCAAGGCCATTCCCTGCAGGATCATGCCCGCATGTGGTTGTTTGAAACACACCACCATCATTGAGGTGTTTCACGACTCGCTCTGCAAGAAACTCCTTCGCCCTATCAGAATGTATCCTGACAACCTCGCGAAACCCTGCAAGTGCAGAAATCTCAGCCATGATGGAGTTAATTCCCTCCAGCGCGTCGCTCCAAAATCGTCGATGAAGAGCGCGCACAAACGGTAATGTCGTCGCATCCTTTGTTCGAAAAACAGCAATCAAGATATACTTCGAGCCGTCATAGCCATCCTTGTAGGGGCCTGCCAGGTCAATGGAAAGCACTCCAGATGACAGATCTCCCGGTTTAATTTTTCGATGCGGCCTTTCAACTCCACGTGTTTTGTAATCATCCAGCTCATGCGTTGCTGGAGTCTTTGTCGGCTTCTCAGATTCTTCATCTGCAAGAGGGCCTCTTTCAAGATCATCCTTTGCCTTCTCGTGGTCATCCAAGGAAGGACACACATCCGAACTCAGTGAAGGCTCATATTGGAGCTCAAGAAAATCACGAGGAAGGCTTGCGTCTCCAGCACACGCAGAGGAGTAAAGACCATCGACTTTTCCTACCTCTCTCTCTTTCTCGCAACCCTGAAGTTCATCCCCACAACAACCCAAGTCCTGGACAACGTTACTCCCATACGGGTTCCCTGAACACCCTGAAGTCCGAGGGATCTTGCTGCAAAGGCTGTTGTTGTGTGCTTCATGTTGCTCGTGCTGTTCGTCTCCCATGTTGCTGATGTTCTTGCTGGTCGAGCTGTGGAAACACGGAAGCTTACTGTTCGCGAGCGAATCGTGTTTTATCGCTTGCTTCCGAATTGCATTAAGGAAAAACGGTGGGCCGTTTGTTCTTTGTTTGAAGCCAAAAGTTATTTTGGTGCTTTGCATGGCGTCACGTGCAGTGAGCAACTTGGCGTGATGGTTGTATTGTTTGCTTCTTAGTTCGAAGCCAAAAGTTATTTGATGCTTTGCATGGCATCACGTGCAGTGATCAACTTGGCGTGATGGTTGTCCTCCTTGCTGCTTGTTGTGAGGTTTCGCTTGAGCTCCTTATGTGTGCAGCACTGGCTCCATTGCGTTGTGCAAAATTTTGAACCGGGCTCCAGTCTCTACCAGGTCCCGCTTCAACAGGCCCCGCCTTCTAACCTTGGCCTTAGGCCACGTGCAAGCAGCCTGCGCGACGCAGGCAGCGGATGGGAGCCCGCCTCCGTGGGCAAGCGGCGATCAAGTCGCCCATATCATTGGGGCTTGCAGGCCCCCCGGTGCACGCTGCACCTCCGCGCGTGTGCTTCTGCTTGGGGTTTCTCCTTGGCGCTGCTAGCCTTTTCCTTGCAATCTGCCTGTGTTGATCTGCATGGGGTCCACGTGCAGTCGCCGCGCGCCCGAGACGCCCCTTGCGGACCCAGATCCTCCGATCCCCGCGTGCCAGCACCTGTGTCAGCAGTGTTCCCGTAACGGGTGCATCCGTTACCGCATCAATCACAATCATCACTGGTGCGCTCATTGCGTCATTCAGTGGTACTTGGCTGTCTACGATCGCTGATATGTCGTCGGCCCCGGATGAACCTCAGCCGGCCATGGCAGGGCTGCGCGCCCCCCCTGAGCCGCACGGGCTCACTGCGTTTTCGCCTGTGTGTGTTGTTAAGCGCTTCCGCCAGGCCCGCGCCCCGCTGTCTGCATCGGTTAAATTGGGGGGTGAGGGGGAAACCAAAGAGGCTGAGCTTGGTGGCCCTGACAGCCATGTTGCAGATGCCCGGGTGGACGTGAGTGCTACCCTTTCTGCACAGCCCAGTGAATCAGCGATTGGTAGGCCTGATTGCCAGGTCCCTCTTGCTCATAATGACGTGGGCGCTACTCGGTCAGTGCAATCAGGCGATGCCCCACTGATGAAGGAAGGTGGGAGTGCCACCTCGTCGGTGCGACCCGGAGGTGCATGCCCCTCGTTGCCCTGTGTACCTGTTTTCGTTTGCCTACGCAAGGAAGTCCACCTCCTTCGATTCGAAACTCCGAAAAGCCGCATCGGCACGCTGATGAGCATGCACCTCGGCATACGCCATCTGGAGTACCTGTGCGGGATGACGTGCGTTCTCCCACTCCTATGCAAGGCAGTGATCCCGTTCAGGGAGGCAGGCAAGGTGCAGCGATTGGAGCCCTTCGCGCCCATGTTGCACAGGGTTTGGAGAGCAGGGGGCCCCCTGGCGCTTTGAGGTTTCCCGACCCGCCTGCTCTGTCTTCAGGTCTCAAACAGGACGAGGCTCATGCCCACCAAGCCACCTGTTCGTGAATGGGGGGCTTGTTGCACAGGCCATCAGTCCCAGCGCGCTAGCAGCGTCCTCTAGTGCGTCGGATGCGGTCGTTGAGGCATGCCCGAGGGTTGGCCCTGATATGAGTGGTGCGTGTGAATCTGCTGCATGTGCTTCCGAGCTAAGCGAGCCTCAGTTGAAAGAGGGAAGCGTTTCCCCCAGCAGCTCGCAGGCTGAGACCGTGCGTGTGATGGAGGTCTTCAGCCCAGACCCTGCGCACCATAAAAGTGGGGTCCGTCCTGTGTCCATGCATCCTCTGGATTTGCGTCCTCCCGGCGACTCCACTGGACCCTTTGTGAGTACAATGAGCTCGGCCTGTCCTGAGACTGGGTCTGCATCTTCTTCGCAGCTGCTTTGTGATTCTATGCGGCCCGCGAGGGTTTCTTCGACCGAAAGATCAGATTGCTCTGGGCAGAGCACTGGTGGAGTGCAACAGGTGTCCTGCAATGCCTCGAGCCTTGGCATCCGCACTGGTTCCCGGCCGGTCTTCACAGGTCTGGTGACCACATGTGTCGAGGGTGAGAAGGTGTCGCGGCCCAGTGTCCTGCGTGAGGTAACCCCTATAAGCTCGAGACCTGTTTTCACCGGCCCGGGGTCCATTCCCCGGAGGGGCGAGGGATATCCCGCACGAGGTGAGTCAGACCCTCCTGTGATTCAAGAGGTGCCGGATGCTGAAGCTGTTGGCAATCCGCTGGCCTCGTTGCTTCCGTGCGGCAGGCCCCTGCCCCCGCGTCCTCCAACCCCCAAACGGAAACGTCTTGAGCCTGAGAGGGCTAGTTGCTCAAGTGGCAGTGCCTCTTCTGAAGAGGGCCTTACGCCAGCAGATGCAGAGGCCTTTTTGGCAAGGCTTGATGCCCGCCCCACATGTTCGTCAGGACATCCATTGTTTTCCTTTGGGCCACCTGAGCCAGGGTGGTGGTGCAGCTCTTGTAAGCGTGTGTTCACAACACGCCGCTTGCTTTGGGGGTGCAGGGTTTGCGACTTTGATGTTTGCGGCAATTGCTTGGTCAATCTTCGCAGTGAAACAACCAGCGCACCCTCGGCTGCGGGTGCGACCACCCCGGCCCCAGGTGACTCCGGTGGTGTTGAAGCGTGGCCTTCAGTGCGGCTTTTGCGTGCTTCGGGGACCCTCCCACGGAAAGATATGTTCCCGGATGATTTACGGTTGACTCTGGAGGTTGATGGGCAAGAGCTTCCGGTTGTGGGGTCCTGTTTGGCGCCTGAGCTCAAGGGTGGGTTCCGTAAGGTGTTCCACCTTAGAGGGGCATGGCCCTCCCCCAACGTTGTGTTGAAGCTCGCCCAGAGTGATGCAGACAACATCAATGAAGTCAAGTGTGCTGCTGTGTGTCCAGCTGCATTTACGCACATCCTTGGCAGTGGCTCGATATATGGATTTCGCTCGGTGTTGGTGGCTTGTGCAAAGCGTCGTATGTCGTCGCCGAGCGGGCAGTCCCGTTGACTGCCTTATTGGATGGCCCACCTTTGCCACCAACGGCTTGTGCCTCTTTGGCACTCCAAAGCTGCCGAGTCTTATTCCGGGCGACCCTCGCCGGAATCAAGTGCAGAGACCTTGGTCAGAAACAGTGGGGGATCAAGGTCCCTCAAAAGTTCAATTTCCAGGACGAAGGGTCACTTGCACGTGTGCGCGGCAGTTTGACGGGCGAAGCATTCCAGCTGGTGATCCTTGACTCGAACTGTTGCCTCCCGGAGGTGCACCAGGCGTGTCTCCTAGGTCCCCGCAAGATGTCGTCCTTCTGGGCTCTCCAAGTTAAACTGGTGGGAGGCCCCGCTTGCGAGAGGATCCAAGCGTTCATACGCGCTCAGAATTTCAACGCCCGCAGTTGTCTTTCCGCTTTGACGCGTGATCACGTCACGGGGCCCGGCTCTTGAGCCTAGGTGCAGCGCTGAATGTGTTGCAGGACATGCCTCCCCGGTTCAGTGCGCGCCAAGATGTAGCCTTGTGACAAGGTGATAGTGTCTGCCTGATACAGTCAGAGCCAAAAAAATGAAGGTGCGAGTGCTCTTACATGTGTTTGCATGTTTGTGAGCGAGCGCAAGGTGTGCTCGGCCAAGGGGCTCATGAATGATGTCTCATGTACGAGGATGACAGGCACATGGTGCCTATGTATAAGCCAAGGGGCTTTCGTACAAGTGGCCATGGGCCATATGTTCATGATGTCGCACTATTGGTGCCCGTGCTGAATGCAGGCTCAAAGCCATGTTCACTCATGTTTGTGCGACTGACCCTAAGTGTCTTTAGTGACGACAGGTTTCCCTCTGACAACTGAAGATAGTCTTTTTGTTGATCGATGTTCTTTGTGGTATCACCATGAACTCAGTCATGATTTTGCATGCCATGCTCGCTGTACCGCGCCCTGAGGTGCTCCTCCCTGGCAACATGATGGATGAAACTTTGGCCACCTCCTCGAGCTCGACCAAATTCCTTGTGTGTGGCTCCCAGGATGCTCGGCTAGGCCCTCGCTCGAGCTAAAGAGCGGGCGGGCTCCTTCTGTCGCGCCAGGTGCACCAACAGGTCAGTGTTTCGGAAAAGAATCTGGGCTGCAGATGTCGGACCAGGGCGGGTTGCCGCCCCCTTTCCAATGCTCCTCCTGTCGAGACTCTGTGCAGCCACCCATCTTTCCCCCGCAAGCGGTTTTCAGACAGTCGTTCGGCTGAGCTCTGCGAGTCTTGCGCTGTGTGTGTGTGGCTCCCGTTCTGTCATGGCCTTCCGGCGCTTTGACCTTACCAATCGTTTGTTTCCGAGTGTCTCATACTTCCTGCTGTGCCACCTTTTCAGGTGTCCATCCGTGATAACAAATACGTGCCTCGGGGAAAAATGGCCTGGGCTACCGGGGGTCTCGGACCCGACCTGCTTGGCGGAATACCGCCCCCACACCTGTGAGTACGCTATACACCCGTCTGCGTATCTTTCCCCTGCAAGCGGTTTTCAGCCTGAGATGTGCTGCCAGGCTCTGCGTATCCTGCAGCGGGGTGTGGCTCCCGTTTGTCATGACCTTCCGGCGCTCCGGCCTTCTATTCATCGTGCCCTATACTTCATGTAGTGCCACCTCTGCTGGTGTCAGTCTGTGATTACTTTGCAAAGCTGCGTTCGCTCCAGCTCCACGTGCCTCGATCAGTGGTTCTTCTTGGCTGGGCTGTACCAAAGACATGACGTCATGCCTACAGGCCGCTGTGTTGGAATCCGCTGTGTGGCTCGTTTTCTCTGCCAGTCTGTCCAGCAGAGCCCGCAGAAACTTTTTTGGGCACAAGCCAAAGGGCGTTGTGCTACGCCATTCGCCACCCCCCGGTGCAATGCCCGCTTTTTCTTTCCTGAAAGCCAACGCGGGCGTGTCTTGCCGCCGCGCGTCTCAAGTCAACTTCTTGGGTTCAACGTGATGCTCCGGTTAAGCTGGGGGTTTTTCTTGTGGGGGGTTTTTCTTGTGGTGGTTTCTGGGTGTGTGTGAATGCCCAGGCCTCGTCCCCCACCTTGGGCAAGGTCCCGTTTGACAGTGCATGAAAACAAGGTGACGGCCCAGAGCACTTCGGCCACTCACATGCCTGTAGCAATCAACACTAAGTCATCGAGTAATGGGACTGTCTACAGGTGAAGAGAGTTGCGCCAAGGCGCCACATCTAGTTACAGTCCTTAAGGAGAAGGTTGAGGCGAGCCTGACTGCCCGACAAGTGGGTCGTGCAGCTAGAGCGCCACTCCCGCCTTGGGTCAGGGCCCGGAGACTACCGTATGATGCCCAGGCTCGGCGGGGTCCGAAGCTAGAAATCAACAGGCGCCAATCACACTAAGGAGCCCTCCCTTAAGGTGACCCAGGCAGCACCCATCAACAGAGACCGGACCAAGCCTTCACAGACATCACCAGACTGGGCTGCCCCCAAGCCTCGACAGAACTATCAACCCTGAGCCAGAAGGCGTTAATCAACATAATTCCAGTACAACAGACTGGGCCCGATCCTGTAAGACACCAAGGCAACTGCCGGCGGCTGGTCCCCAGGAATGGGCCCTACACCAGCCCATTCCATTGCGCGAAAGTCATTGTGAGGACCTCAATCAAGGGCCTCCCCTGGGACACGACCGTGAAAATCAGATCCCACCTGGAAGGGGGGGAGGCCGCATCACGCTAGGATTGATTGACTGTACGCGTTGCACGCTGGAACATCCGATCGACCAGTCCCGTATCAGGCACGGGCCATGTACTAAGACAATCCTCATCCAGAAAGTGCGACAAAACCGTACGTGGCCTCACTCGTCATCGCTCCCAACAAGAGTGACCGCTTGGGCTCGATAACGGTATTCACTTGATTACGCGCCAACACCTTCATGCAGATTCGATACTCCGTGGTCCTGCACAAGTTATGGCTACGTACCCAAAAGATGAGCCGCAACCTATGCAGCTCCGACTCCGACATGGAGGCCTGTCGTGCACATCGCATCCTTGAGGACTTGCGGCAGAGCAATCCTTACGAGACTCCGTTATGGAAGCTTGCGCCCCAACTCATCCTTGAGGACTCATGGCTGAGCATCGCCAAGAGGCCTTGGGCGCCCAGTCCTGACAGCTTCACAGCCAAACTGTTCTCGGGGAACCAGTGGCACGCCCTATACGGGCTCATTGAGACGACGGAACCAAGAGACCCGAAAAGAGAAACCCCCCTCAAAACTCCATCATTAGAAGCTTGCGTGCACAACGCATCCTTGAGGACTTATGGCAGGGCACCCCATGGGATTCCGTTATGGAAGCCTGCTTACACAACGTGCACAACTCGACCTTGAGGACTCGTGGCAAACCAATTCTCAAGAGCCCGTGGGTGACCAGCTTCACGAGTCCTTAGGTGACCATCCTTGGCAGCTTCACAGGCAATCTATTCCGGGGGGAAGCACCGGCGCGCCTAGACCCCCCCACTAAAACCTTCATGACCTGGAGAAAAACCCGGACGTGTACGAAAGCAACTCGTTGGTCGGGAGTGGTCTGTGCGTTCTTAAGCACCTGCTTGGGTCAAGTGACCGTTTGCAATATGGAGAGAAAAGGCGTGCGGGTTAGGGTGGTGGCAGTAAAATAAGCCCGCAGTGACAGCCGCCGAATGTACATGCAGGCTCGTCAGTGAGAGGTGAGTTCCTGTTCGCGGTTGGAAGCCATGTGGAACCACGCCAACTTACGTTTGCAACAACTGTCAGAGCATGCCCACAAAGTGTTCTGCCTGCTCTGCCGGCTGCGCACTGTGTAGCTGTTAACCTCGGTTGACATGCTGAAGAAAAACGGCCATCCCAGGCATGTCTAGAGGGGTATGCGGCAAACCTGGTGTGTGTTCGCTTGGTATGCCTTACTTGACGGACAACCTTGCGCCGCATGGGACTTGGGCGGCCTACTGTATGGCGACGCGTGCGCCCTGTTGCCTGATGTCTGTCTGCCTATTGCGCAGGTGTGTGCGCTCTCCTGGAGGCCGTATTAGTGGCAGCGCTTGTTGCTCCGGTTTTGGGGGGCACGTGTTTGGCACACTCACATGCCATGCTTGTGAGGGCATCAACTCATCACTGGAGCTTTGATTTTCTTGTTGGGGCCGGTCTACGTTGTGAATTTCTCCTTAGTAAATGGTAGTGACTCTGAGTTTGGGTGCGCTCCCTTTCTACGGGTTGCGCGTGTGACTCCCCCCCCCCAATCGAAGTGTGCAGGCTACCCTCCAAGTCAGGAGGCCACGTTCATGCTTTGGGGGGGGTCAACGTTCTGTGTTCCGAATTGTCTGTGCACGTGGTGCCCTCTGCCCTGGTCTTTCGGTTAAAAGGGGGTTTGAGGTTTTTCCATTGCGTGACAGCGTGCTACGCATGTAAGGAGTGTGAGCCGACAGCGTGTGCTCCGGCATGCGTGTGTTGCATCTTTGGTTCGCCCACTGATAAACAAGAAGGGATGGTGACCTGCGGTGTCGAGTGTCTTGCTTTTGAGTGTCTTACATTTGGGCTTGTGCTTTTGGGTTCAAACCAATTTGGAACAAGCGATAAAGCCAATGTCACCAAGCTGCAGCTGCTGAGCTCCGCTCAACGATGTTGCACCGCGCACTGTGAACAAGGTCAAAGCGATTCGCGTTCCTCGCCATGGAGCTGTACCATGCCACTTCTTCGGATTGAAGAGAACCGGATTTCGCTGAGCCGGCATCAGTAGTCCTCGTAGGGCCCTTTTCTCTGATACCCTTCTGATATGCTCACCCTCGGGATGCTCGGCCCAAAGATCACCACCCTTGCACATTCCCTTGTGACTCAACACCGCCAATGCATTCTGACTGCCTTCTGCATTGCCTAGGTCACGACGCGGTGCAAAAGCGGTGTCCCAGCTGATTGTGAAAGATGACCATCGCACGTCAGGAAGCTGCTGATGCATAAACTTGTTGATGAGCCTCACCAACCACGGCCTGTCCTTCGTGCGATCTGTGATTCCCACATTAGGACCCACTGCAAAA